AACCTACCTTCTTGGTGGAGTCCATCTTCAAAAGATCACCAAAGATGGAAGTGACTCTGGCTCTCGTCTCGTCGAGCCTCGTCAAGGCGTCCCTGACGTAGACGTTGATGAGCCAGAGCACTGTGGGCACCGGGTGCATGGTTGGGAGCGACGACGCCGCCAGCGGCGCAGCGCCCGGTACCCGAAGCTTGCGGAGCACGGAAAGGTACAGCATCGACCGCGCCATCCACTCTCTGGTGTGCTGCTCCACCAGAGAGGCACGGAGGCGAGACGCACTGTTGCCCAAAGTGCGCTCCTTCATGAGCCCGATCACAGCTCTGTCGCAGGACAACCTGGGAGGGGAAAGAGGTGATCAGAGGTTACTGGAGAAAACCACAGAAATACATTACTGTTGCTGTTACTGTTTACATTACTTACTTGTACGTGAGAACTGCTGGAAACTGCTCACGATGGGCCATGTCCAGCTGTCCCAAGATGTCCTGCGACCATCCCGGCATCTTCTTGTGACAGGAGCTGCATTCCAGGTACTCCGTGCCCATGAAGTACCAGCAGCTCCTGTCCAAGACCCTCCTCACCGTCTTGTAGAGGCCAGCTCCCGCAAGCTTGCCCCCACAGGCGACGATGGGGCAGCGGAGGTGGTACGCCCACATCCTGTAGGGCACCCACAGGAAAAAGGGACTCTGGAAAAAGGGGTGGGCTGTGGCGGGTGGCTGGGTGTAGAGGGGCCGGGCACCTGGTGGGTGCCACCACAGGCGGAGTTCAGATGTGAGGACACCCTGCCCGTTGGGTGCCCTCCTGAACAGTGCCCGGCCCACCCAGTCGTGCTGCTCTTCGGGGAGCGTCAGCCTCCAGCCACGTGGTAGCAGCTGAAACACACAGCAGTGTCAGACCGTTAGTGTACTGAACACAGACACACACACACTACAACACAATATGTCATCACTGAGCATACCTGTGCGCCGGGGCCTGACCTCTCCCCACAGGTGTTGTCCTGAAGGGGACGTTCCGGTGGCTGGGAGAGAGAGAAGGGGGGCACGGCTCCATGGCGGCAGCGAGCAGGTCAGCATCCGAGGGTCCATCCTGGGGACCAACAGCGTCCAGGGGTGGTTGTGGTGGTTGTGCTGCCAGGGCTGCCTTCTCTGCATCCCGGGCCTGCACATATTTTTTTAAGTCCACCAACCTGGACGCTTTGGCTGTGGGTGCCGCCTGCCTCACAAACTGTACATAGCTAAAAAAGAGAACAGAAATGCAATGGGTAAAAAAGTCACGCACACACACAGACATACACACACAGACACAGATACACACACAGACACACACAGACACACACAGACACACACAGATACACACACAGACACACACACACACACACACACACACACACACAGACACACACACACACACACACACACACACACACAACAAACAAACAAACAACTTACCTTGCCCGCTCACGGTCCGTCGACTCGTACAGGGTCTTGTAGGTCAGGTCACTATGAACACCGAACCCCACCAGCGTGTCGTCCACGCCCCTCATGGTCTGGGGACTGCCCTCGAGCATCCTACGCCTGTCGATGGCTGCCACCATCGGCGGGAACAGCCTGGCGTAGGAGACGAGGGCGTCTTTGTGCACCATGAGGGCATTCTGCTGACTAGTGCCCCCTTTGTCTCTCTCTCCCTCGTGGGACACACAGATGGTGACTGCGTATCCCACGTCATTCTCCAGCAGCCACCGGAACGTCTGACCACGGTACTGGCCGAGCTGCAGCTCGCTCTCGGCCAGCACCTGATGGTGATCGGTGGGGTTACCTCCCTTCTGCACCACCCTGTCTCTTGCCTCAGAGCGCACCAGCTCAGGGGTCTTAACCACCACCAGGGCAGTGGCAGAGGCAGAGGCCCCCCCTCTGGCGGCGGCTCAAGGCCAGCGCCTCCTGAGAGGCCCGCAGGGTCAGGTCAAGGTTTGCCTCAAAGCGGAAAATAGGCTGCATTTTCTAGAAAGACAAGAAATAAGATTTAAGTCAGTAATCTGCTACACATGCACTGTTTACATCCTACTGACAGTCTATTACTGTACTCAATGATACTGTGCCCATTCATTAACATACATTCAACATCAGGCGTCCTGTTTACACATTTAAACCATATTTACACTTTGAATTTTGACTTCAAACTGTAGTAACTACATCTACAGGGTCTAAGGAAGATAATCAGGTAGTCTGTTTAAAGATTAAATACATTGTGAGAGATCGCCAGCCCTCAGAAAAGTAGTAACTAAAATGACCTCATTCACCTCCTTGTTTTTAGCTAGCAAAATCACGGCTGGTCTGTTTACACATTTAAACCATATTTACACTTCAAATTTTGACTCCACCTCGTTGTACCAGCATACCAAGGGTCTTAAGAAGTGAGCCAAGTTGTCTCATCACGTTTTTAAAGCGTTTCCAGAGATCGTCAGCTCATCACAGCAGTGGCTAAATGCTCATTCATTTCCAACGCTTAGCATGCTAATAGCGATTTATATGCTAACGCATCTAAAGCACAGTTAAACTTTAAATATCAACTCCACACAATAGCAGTACAATATCCTAGGTCTCAACAAGTAAACCCAGTATGGGAATATTATTTTAAACACATTTCACCGATCGGTAATGACATCGGCGGCAGTCCTAACTTACGCTAACGTTACATTGGCTCGCTGTTTCACTGCTAACTGATTACTGTATAATATATAAGCTGCCTTTTCAATGTAGCACATAATTTTACAAACAATAAAGTTTGTCTAACCTTATAATATTGTGTGAATGTCCGTCCGTCCGCTCACTCAAACGCCGCTCAGTCCGAATGAATGAATGACACTGACCGTGGCTGTGGCTTTGGGGGTGGGCGGGACATGCGGCGAGCTGTCGAATCACAGCACAGCACCCAAATGGAACAGACCAATGGGGTTGACCTGGCCTTCACCCATTGGCCTGTTCCATTTGAGCATGAGCCAATGATAGCCTCTGAAATCGGTAGGTGGGGACATTTATGTGGAACACAGGTACAGAGACGAAGGCTGTCCCAGAGAGCGCTCCCCCAGCGTTCTTCTCTGTTTTGGTCGGCACCCGCGCATGCGCACTAGAGCGCAAAAGACGCGCGGTCGACGTGCGGAACGGCACTCCCGCTCGCCGGTTCGAATCCCGACGGAGGCAAACTGCGAAACGCGTGCATAGCGTCGAAATGTCTTCTCTAAATATAAAAAAATGATTAAAACATGCTTGGAACCGTTGTATAGAGTCTATAAATGATAATGAATTTGCATATTTCCAAGGCCAGGCAATGCAATAATAAATGGATTTTTCATTTACAGTACGGTTTATCTCCTGTGTCTTCATTTTATTGAGAATATGTATCATCAGTGTTTATTGAGAATATGTATCATCAGTGTTTATTGCTTTAAATTTGATATAGGACAAGAGAACAATGATACCAGTATAAAATGATGACAATTTATTTGAAATATGAAGTCAGATGTCCAGGATACAGGACAGTGCAGCATATCAGTGTGGAAAGGGCTTTACAAATAAAATACAATTCTCAGTAAAAAAGGGTAAATAAATTATTTATGTATAAATTAAAGTTACATGCTGTGTATGATTTGTTTCCCCTTTTTCTTCAGTGAAATAAATATCAATTAAATATATTGTTGTTGTGTTCTGCATCTTCACAACAACAACATCAAACACAGCAGAAGTACAGAGCAAAATAGATTATTTAAACTACAATCCAATAATAATAATAATAATAATAATAATAATAATAAATGGTGATGCAGAACAGAGCAGTGGCACAAGGCAATCACAGCAGGCAGACACATAGTATAAGAGCTCAGCACAGATATGCATGGATACATAACACAGGGGCATTACAGTGTGAAGTACCTGTACATACAAGGCTTTTTATTTTTTTGGCAGCAACAGAGCCAGTGGCAACAGCAGATGAACCAGCACAAATGGCAGTCCGATATCTTGCGTCGCAGCTACTGGATGTAACTGATGTAACAGTGATCACATTAATGAACATACCCACATGTCCAAAATATAAAAAATAAAAAAACTTGTCAGTGCATAGAATCAGAACAGCACAGAGGCATGACAGCGTGTTATACAGGTGTGAATGGGACACACAATGATTTCCCCCCCCTTAAACCATATGACAGGCAGCAGACACACAGCAGGCCTATAAGACTTGTCAGTGCATAGAATCAGAACAGCACAGAGGCATGACAGCGTGTTATACAGGTGTGAATGGGACACACATTTTTTTCCAAGCAGAGTGTCACTGTGCTGTAGAAGAGTTGTGGCAGGGTGGGTGGACCGGTGTTGGTAGAAAGCCTCCACACTGCGGCAAAGTCCCGGTCCTTGTGGAGGGGAAAGTCAATGTCTTTTTAAAAAAAAAACACACACACAACACTGCAAACAACTATATACACCTGCCCCAGCAAGAGTGCGAAATCAGTCCGGGTCTCGACCCTGGTCCCTCTCCTTCATCTCCCTCAGCCAGTCCTCCACACTCTTACCCGCCGCAGCAGAGCAAAAATGTCCACTGCCGTAACGGGTGTGTCCGGTCTCCCTCCGCTTTGGCTGGCCGCACTTCCTGCACTTCTGTACTTGTGGCACGCCGGCCCGGGCAGAGACACCTGTTCCTGGCGGTGCCGCTGCCCTCTGCTCGGCCTTCTTCCTCCTCAGCCATTCAGTTTTGTACGTAGAGAGAGGCTGAGGAGGAGGAGCAGGAGGTGCTGCCTGCACTGCTTGTTGTCCTTGCTGTCCTGGCAGCAGCTGCAGTGCAGGCAGCTGAGGGCCGGCGTGACGTGCGGCGGCCAGCGGCAAAGGGAGGACGTGTGGGGCTGGCGTTGTCCGAGGGAGCGTTGGGATGGGGGGGGGGATGGGGAGCACCCTCACACTCTGCTGGGGCAGTGAGAGGTCCAGGAGGAGAGGCTGTGTAGCTGCAAAGGTCCCGTTGCAGCTGCTGCAGCAGCTGTTGGTGGTACGGCCAGGACAGCAGCTGAGGGGGCAGGCGGTAAAGGCGCCAGTAGCCGTCTGCACACAGACACCGGTGCTGCCACAGCCGGTGCTGCTGCCAGAGTTACCGCCGCCCTTGCCGCTGCTGTCGTCGCCTGGCCTGCAGGCACCACCGTTGCTGCTGCTGCCGGAGGACGATCCACCGCCGGTGCTCCTTGGCCCGGCGCTGCCGCTGTTGCTGTCGCTGGCGCCACCGCTGCCGCCGCCGAGCCCGCTACCGCTGGTGGTCGTCCCTCTGCTGCAACGCCTGGAGCTAGCACAGCCATCTCCTTCTCCCGCTGCGTCCTGGTGAACCTGAGAACGGATTTCAACATAGTATTTTAGTTACATGTACAATTTTGAGAGCATGTAATTCAAGCATGTCATTACCATAACATATAACACTGTCCAAAGCATCAAACATACCACAGCGAGAGGGTCCTGCTATTCAGCTCATAGAGCTGGATGGGCGCCCGAGCCATCAGCCTCTGGTGGCCCAGCACAAGGTCCCGGATGTGCTGGTACCGAAGCAGTTATGCTGTCCCACCGCGACCGCCGGGCACCGCTCACACGGGTGCCTGAGGGGCACACGCGGCAGAGCTGGATGCACACTGCCTCTACCAGCCGGCTTGCACTGGGACTGCTGGCAGGTCCAGAGGTCTGTCCGACCAGGCAGCTGCGGACAACGGACAAAAACAATGATGGATATGAGCATGCTGTGAACATTACAATAGCTCGTGTGTACGTCAGGGAAACGTGTGATGGAAGTGTAGCCTTACCGTCTCATGTTCTCCACACCAGGTATACTGGTGCGGCTAGGCTTCGCTGCCTTGAAGCGCCCCCGAGCTGGCCTGTCCCTGTAGCGGGGAGGGTAAACTACTCGGTCCCTGTCGAATTTTGACAGGGCCTCGTAGAGCCTGATTAGCTCATCTACCCTCCCCTCGGACAAGGCCGGTTCGAAACGCAACCCCACCAAGGCCGTGGCCAACTGGACCACGGCCAGGTACCCCGGCTGGTCATCTGGTCCTCTGTAGTCCTGCAGACACACAAGCAGAGACAGAAAACAATCAGTCAGATGAATGGGAGGAAAAGAGCGCAGTGTGGTGATGTGAGATGCAGAGGTGGCGTGCCTACCTCAGACGCAGGGGGCGTCCAGAGGAACAGCCGACATGCGAAGAAGGCAGCTGGTGAGGCGGGTGGCTGAGTATAACTCGGCCGGGGCTGAGGGGGATCCCACCACAGCTTGAGGTCCGTGGTGAGTTTAGTCCTCCCCTTGCTGTCTGGCTGGAACAGCTCCCGGCCGATCCACTCCTGCTCTTCCACGGTGAGAGCTGTCCGCCAGCTCTCAGGCAACCGGGCCTGTGAGGAAAAAAACAACACAAACAAACAAACACACTGTAAGGAGGCTGAGTCGGTGCTACATGCAGTTTGACAGTCGACTCCACTGAGTTGTGCGTCCATGAGTACAGGTGGGTGTGTGTGTGTGTGTGTGTGTGTGTGTGTGTGTTTGTACCTCAGCCGAAGCAGGAGTGGGAGCTGCGGGCTGCTCCACATTCCTCTCCTTCCTCTTCCATCTCCACCTCCTCCGACGGTGCCGGAGGAGGTGGAGATGGAGGCGTCACCACCAGCGGGAGCGGGAGAGTCTGAAGGACCTGTACGTCAGCTTCAGACACAGTCACACACAACAAAATAGATTCAGCACAATGATAGTCATGGGACAAGACTAAGTGAGTCTGAGTGTTGATGACATGCAGTATGCCAGTGATTAGGGCAGAAGGTTTAGTGCTACAAGATGCAGCAGAGCCAAGGGAAGTAGACATGTGAAGGCGTTTAATCAAATCTACATTACCGCCACATGAGTGAGGATGGCACTACCACCTACGAAGATGGCTATATTACCTGCCAAACCTACCTTTGTCCTTCAAGCATCAGCTGTAGCGACCAGTAAATGAAACAATTACAGTTAATACAAACACACTGACAGAAGAATATATATTGATGGCAAATGTGACACGTCCAGTTTGGTGCCAGTTACCTGTTTCTATGTCAGTGGCCATCTGGACCAGTTCCTCGTCCGTCACCTCTGTGGCGTGGGGCGGCGGCGGAACCGAGGGGCGCTGGTCTCTGAAGGATGTAGACACCGCTATGGGGGGGGTTGGGCAATGGTTAGTAAATCATGTACAGTGAACTGTACTCTGTTGTGTTAAAGAGAAAGAAAGAGATCTACCTCGAACTGCAGGCTGTGCAGGTGTGGTCATCAGCTTCCTGACCTTGGCCTGCAGCTCACCTGGGCCCATGGGACGCCGGCGGCGATCTTGGAGGCGATCGGCTTGTGTGGCTACAGCGCGGTGGAAGCAGCGGCCTTGCTGGGGCCACTGCTGGTGGTGGTGGGGGCGCTGCTGCTGATGCTGCGGCTGCTGGTGGGTGGAGGGGGGGTAGCAGCCGCAGCTGCCGCCTCTGCCGACCGCTTCGCGTCTCGGCCCAGGATGTACTTCCTGGCGGCGTCCATTGCAGTCCCAGGGTGCAGTGTCTTCCCTCGAAGCCACTTGACAAATCTACAACATGGACGGCATCACATTAGTGAACAATAATGACATACAGCAATTCACAATCCATTGTGTGTAGCACCAATCACTCACCCTTGGCGGTCCTTATCAGAGGACTCGTACAGGTCCTTCAGGGTGTCCTCTTTAAACTTCCCAAAGCCAACAAGGGCCTCGCCCTCACACCCGGGCTGACTGGCACGAGCCCGGGCCTCCTCGTGCGCCCGGTGGAATCTTATGTGTTCAGCGAACTCCGGGTGGGTGCACGAGTACTGGGCGAGAGCGTCCTTGTTGGCCATAAGGGGGCTGTCGGAGGCACTCTTCTCCCGCTCCCGCTGGTGGCTGGCGACCAACTGTACCGTGTAGCCCACGTCGTTCTCCAGGAGCCAACGGAACGTTTGACCCTGGTACTTCCCAAACTGGATGCTGTGGCAGCTCAGCACCAGCATGTGGTTCCCAGGGTCACCGCCCGTGGAGACGACGTGGGCTTGTGCCTCCTTCTCCACCTCCTCCGGCTTCTTGGCCCTCGCAGCAGCGGCGGCCCCGCGTGGCCCCTTGGCGGCGATGTAGGCCACCGCCTCACCAGAGGCCCGCAGGAGAAGCTGCTGCGAGGCTGTGAATTGCAGTTTTGCAAAAACCATTTCTACAATGACAAGAAATGACACAGCACAGCATTAAAGGAGCATTACAGGTTAAACTACATATTAACTGCTATATTACCAGGAATATCACACATAAGATTAATGATATACTGGTACTTCACATTCACTATTGAAACATTACCGTTAACAAACTAACATCACGTGACACAACAGGTAAATAATGAGCCCAGGGTTAGCCCCCTATGCATTGGCAGCCATTAAACAAACAGGCTTATTGTTAATGTATAAAACATACACTTAAACTTTATCTTTTGATTTCACCTGGTGATATTATAACCTTAAGGCTCTAAGGACATTAACTGTATAGTCTTTTCATACTTTAATTTTGTTTTCAGAGATCGTCACATGTTGTAATTATACTGTAGCATCCTAGCTACAGCTACGTTACATTACATTACATAATGGCGATCTCTCAAAATGTATTTAATCTTTAAACAGATTATGTGCTACAGCGAAAAGGCAGCTTATATATTATACAGTAATCAGTTAGCAGTGAAACAGCGAGCCAATGTAACGTTAGCGTAAGTTAGCACTGCCGCCGATGTCATTACCGATCGGTGAAATGTGTTTAAAATAGTATTCCCATACTGTGTTTACTTGTTGAGACCTAGGATGTTGTACTGCTATTGTGTGGAGTTGATATTTAAAGTTTAACTGTGCTTTAGATGCGTTAGCATATAAATCGCTATTAGCATGCTAAGCGTTGGAAATGAATGAGCATTTAGCCACTGCTGTGATGAGCTGACGATCTCTGGAAACGCTTTAAAAACGTGATGAGACAACTTGGCTCACTTCTTAAGACCCTTGGGATGCTGGTACAACGATGTGGAGTCAAAATTTGAAGTGTAAATATGGTTTAAATGTGTAAACAGACCAGCCGCGATTTTGCTAACTAAAAACAAGGAGGTGAATGGGGTCATTTTAGTTACTACTTTTCTGAGGGCTGGCGATCTCTCACAATGTATTTAATCTATAAACAGACTACCTGATTATCTTCCTTAGACCCTGTAGATGTAGTTACTACAGTTTGGAGTCGAAATTCGAAGTATAAATATGGTTTAAATGTGTAAACAGGACGCCTGACGTCCACGTTCAATATTAGCATAAGCTAACCAGAGAGTGCCGGCAGAACGTAATAAAACATTAACTCCATTCAGTACATCGTAACAGTACAGTGGGGTCGCTGTGTTATATCAGTACATTAATATTCTATTTATTTTGGTTTTACTCACTCTCTCAGATCTCACTGCTCTCTCAAATACACACGGGGATTTCTGTCCGTCGCATACGGCAGCCGGTGAGGTTAAGAGGTGGGCGTTAACGTCTAACGCTCGACTAACGCTCGACAATCCGAGCTGCTGATTGGCCCAGAGCTGACAACGCTCGACTAGCGCTCGACAGCACTGGCTGCTCATTGGCCCAGAGCTGACAACGTTCGACTAACGCTCGACAGCACTGGCTGCTGCTCATTGGCTGGCATACAGAGACCATTGCTGGTCATATTGCGCGAAGAAGCAAGGGAGCCGTGCGGAGCGCCGAGGGCGGCGCGCGCAGCCGGCCCCCCGGCCCCCGGTCGGCCGCATTTCCCCGGGCTCGTGTGATAAAAAGCAGCCCCAAAGAGCCTCTCCTTCTATTTCTCCCGATTATAACGCCAAAGAATTGGAACGATCCCCCCTTTCCCCCCCTTCTCTCGACATGTGTCAGTCAAAAGCTGTTGTCCTACGTCATCCCGAGCACATGGCTACTTATCATACGGCGGCGACACGGAGAATTAAAGGCCCCGCACGCATTTAAAGCGACGAGACCTGTTTGGTTAAATGTACATTAATATTTGAATGGTTTTGGCCTCATGAATGGCTCCAGGTTTGTTTGGTTAAATGTACATTAATATTTGAATGGTTTTGGCCTCATGAATGGCTCCAGGTTTAAAAAGTTAAGTTAAAAAATATTTAAATAGAGAAGACAAGGATTTAATCAATTAAATGTTTATTAGAAAGGTTAAAAATGTATAACATAAGCAGGGAAATTGCAGTGTAGAAGCAGCATTACACACAGTAACAACAAACACACACACACACACACACACACACACACACAAAAAATCAAAAAAAGCAATATAGAATGCAATATAAAAAATGTATAAATAACCAGTATAATGCAGTCCAAAGTAAAAATAAAAAATATAAGGTGCAATGAACAGATGAAACATATAAGGTGCTTGGATGATACAGTACAGTTGGATAATTTTAATGTTTTTTTGACCTCTTCTCAGCCAGCCACAGCTCCACAGTCTTCCCTTCATAAAGAGCACAGAAGTGCTCTCCCCCATATTGGCTGTGGCCAAAGTCTTTCTGCTGTGGCTGGCCACAGAGCTGGCAGATCCTCAGTTTGTGGGGCTTCCTCACTTTCCCCCCGGTTTCTCTGGTTTCTCATACCTTCATTTGAGGTTCCAGGCTGTTGTTCTGGGGAGCTTCTGCAGCTCACCAGGGCCAAGCTGTTCCCTGGTCCACTCTTGCACTGTGCGTCCTCCAGGGCCCTCTTTCACAGCACAAAAGTATTGGCCCTTGAAGTACGCGTGGCCACCATCCACCGTGCGTGCTTGGTCACAGATGTAGCAGGGGTCCCCAGGCTGGTGCTGTGGCTTTCCCCTGCTACTTTGGAGGACTTTTTTGTCCTTTGCCGCTTTAATTTTGCGCCTGTAGACAGTGCAACGGGTGGGCTTGCTGGTCCCCGCCACTGGCTCTGCTGCCTGAAGCTGTCGAGGAGAGGAGCTGGAGGAGGAGGAGGATGACGAGGAGGATGAGGAGGCTGAGGAGGAGGAGGATGAGGAGGATGTGCAGTCGTAGTCCCCTAAAATATAAAATACAATACAGAACTCTGTTAGTCAAGGTACATAGAAACACATATGTAGTTTTAAAAAGTGTATTTGTAACAAACCTAATGAAGTGACATGTCTGGTTTTTCGCTTTGCTTTTCTGCCTTCCATTCTGTCCAAATAAAATGCTTGAATGAATTGACTGTCTGTTTTTTGCCTTTTTTTTGAAACCCCTCTTGGGGGAGACACACCTACCAGTTCGGCCCTCTCTCAGTCCGGTCAAACCCCCAAGTTCTCGCAGGAGATAAGAGCCCCCCTGTTGTTTTAATCAGGAAGCCAGGAGGTGAGAAGTGAAGGCCCCTCGGCACCCCCTGTTGTTTTACAATGTCCACTTGTAAAAGGCCAATTCTCACCTAGTCTCTAAGTAAGCCTTTGAACCTGACCTGGTTGACCCCTTGACCCTAGTTTCAAGTGAGGAGAGGGAATGATGTATTGTGACTGTAACTTGTGGGGATTTACTGATATCAGGCACCTATTCTAGATACCTAGTCTTCCCTATATTTATTTAATTTCTTAAAGGCAGAAAGAAGCAGGAGAAAGCATTGGTTTAAAAAAAGAAAAGTTTATTTAAACTAAAACAATTAAGACAACTATATACAACTATATAGATATTGGAATTTGCCCATTGTGGGACAAATAAAAAGGTATAACTTATATATGACAACTATATACATAATATTAATTTAACAAACACAACTGACTAACTAAATACACTATATACACAATATTTACAAATCCCTCCCTCCCAAACACACACACACACAAACAAAGTGTTCGCTCAGGGAGGGGGAGCTGCCCCATCACACACACTCACACACACACACACAAAGTGTTCGCTCAGGGAGGGGGAGCTGCCCCATCACACACACTCACACACACACACACACACAAAGTGTTCGCTCAGGGAGGGGGAGCTGCCCCATCACACACTCACACACACACACACACAAAGTGTTCGCTCAGGGAGGGGGGCTGCACCATCACGCCCCTTCACCTCTGCCAGCCACTGCTCCACAGTTCTCCCTTTCCCGTCGGCCCGGGAGCAGAAGGTCTCCGTCTTGTAGCGGCTGTGGCCAAACGCCCGCGTCTTTGGTTGGCCACAGTGCCTGCAGTTGAAGTGGGAGACCTTCTTTGCTGGTTTCATATATTCTCCCAGCTCCCGGGCACGACGCTCTTTCTCCTCCTGGAGCTTGCGCCTCCAGGCAGTGTTTCTAGGCACTGGTGGAGCAGTGGCAGCTGTGGCTGTGGAGGGGGTGACACCTGCCTCTGCGCTGGCGGACGGGACGGCGTCTGCGCTGGCACTGGTGGACGGACGGCGTCCGCGCTGACACTGGTGGAGGCTTGTGGGGTGGCTGAGGAGGAGGAGGAGGAGGAGGTGGTGGCAGTTGAGGAGCTGGCGACGATGAGGTCGTATAGCTCCGGGGCCAGCGGCCCTCTGATGGTGGCAGCCAGACCAGAAGCGTCCGCAGGCAGGCGGTGCTGGAGGGGCTGGTCTGGCTGCTCAGGCTGCTGCAGCACAGTCCGTGGGGCAGGCAGGGGCTCCGCTGCAGTCTGGGAAGCGCTGGGCCCCGGGACTGCAATGGCGATGGTGTCCCTCATCATCGCCTTGCTCCTCTTGGTGTGCCTTAAAAAACAGAATGTAACAAATGCACATTAGTAATCATGACATCACACACACACACACACACACACACACACACACACACACACACACACACACACACACACACACACACACACACACAAATGCCACTTCAGATCAGATGTGAGAGAAAGGATCAGGTCTTAACATTGCGTCAGGGTCCGCTGATTGACCTCATACAGCTGGATGCGGGTGCCTGCATGAGGGCTGCACAACTATAAACATTCTCTCGAATTGTTTGATAGTCCCTCATGACGGCACTCCAGCGATGAATGCGGACCCCGGCAATCGTCCTCCCCTCACTGCAGTGGAGGATGCTGAGGTCCAGCAGGACAGCCTCCACAAGCCTCGACACATCGGGAGACTGCGCCGCTCCCGCCCCCTTGCCCAGGACCGCACTACATTGACACACACAGAGAGAGAGAGAGAGAGAGAGAGAGAGAGAGAGATGAGTTAGTTAGTGACTGACAGCACAGAACAAGAACCAAACAAAGCTTGGAAATTTATTGTGACTGCTTACCGCTTCACACTATCCACCCCTGGTGTGTGAGCGTGCCGCTGGGTGGTCCTGAATCGGCCCTGGACGAGCCGGTCCTGGTGACGGGGGGGAATGTGACCGCCGCCTTGTCCCAGTCACTCAATTTCAGCCAGAGAGCGGTGACCTCTCTGGCTTGCCTGGGAGTGACGTAGCGGCGGTGGCGCAGTTCCACGAGGGCCTGGGCCAGGGCCACGACGTGCTGGTAGCTGCCTCGACCGTCTGGCCCGATAACGTCCTCCTCCTCAGCCTGCTGCACCTCCATTAGGTCCAAGCGGGGGGGGGGGGTGAGGTTTGAGGACTGAAGGAGAGCGCTGTGGTGTTCGAGGAGACGAATCTCCTCTGGCTCCTCTTCCTCCTCCTCCTCCTCCTCCTCCTCCTCGAACCCTTCATCACTGCCCCCCCCCCCGCTTCCTCCTCATCAGTCCCTGGAGTGTCAGGAGATGTTAAATGACAGACACCTAAGACAGGTGTTAAACGTTACCGTTACCTCAGACAGATTTATGACTTACCTGTGTACTCCCTGGGCACGGTGTAAGTGTCGACCAGCGTGAGCCCAAGAAGCTCTTGGGTCAGCTGGTCGAAGCTGTGCTGCAGCTGGGCACTGTAGCAACGCAGCGCCGACCTCTGTCCTCCCTCAACTGCCGCCCTGCCTCGATTCTCGTTCCACCGCACCAGGCCCTCCAGCAGGTAACCCTAACCCTAACCCTAACCCTAACCCTTTCCCCCTTTCATTTCCCCTCTGAAGAAGTGCCGGCGAGGCACGAAACGTCAGGGGATCCTGCTCTGTCAGCGGAGCCGCTGCCGCTCCTTAAACTTTTTAATTAGTCTCTTTATTATTCGGAACCAGGACCCTCGTTGGTTTTTTAAATTTAAATCATTAAAAGTTACGTTTTAATAGCACCCGGTGTGAACACCTTGCCTACCTGAGCGCTTCATCCTCCTCTCCCGCAACTGTCGGCTTCCTCCTCTGTTGGATTAAAAAGAAATAAGACTTTTTCCACCCAGTCTACTCCACAGAGAACCCGGAAACACGGAACGACATGACGCAGAAACCGCAACAACCGCATGCAGCGAGATGGACGCAGGTGGGTCACACACACACGGGTGCACACAGGGCGGAGGGCAGCGGACCCCGACACGAGCGGGGTCGGGGGGGAGCAGGCAGACCCGCGGCTGCAACTTACAGGACCCCTCCCTCTCTCTCTTTTTCTTTTTCTCCCCACACACAGAGCGGACCGGAAAGCAGACACAGCAGCACACACGGCACAAACAACACCGCACATACGAACACACACACACCAATTAAACAGGCACTGGACACATCCACCCGTTTTGCAGCTAAACATCACTTAAAACTTATACAAGCCACACATCATCACAACAACATACAGCAGGCTTTTGAGGAGGGCGAAATTCCTAAAGGGATGTTACGCAAAACACTCCAACTGGCCAGCTTCATAAAACCATCCTCTCCATCACAAAACACAACAGACACACTCAAAGAAAACACACTCACTTGGTTATGGCAAAACATGCACATTTTATTAGCACATTACAAAGACATAATCACACATCTCCTTAACACCCCTGGCAACGAGTTGGCGTTTACAGTAGCCACACAATGGGCTCTTAGACGCTACGGCAACAGAATCGATCCAGACACAATTACATTTGCACATGATCTGCTCTTCACCACAGCCACTCTTTCTAACCCTTCCTCCCCCCTGAAATATTGTGATTCAGATGAGGATTTTTCTTTTCCCTCCCTCCTCACCTGCCTAACACGGAGCCCTCTTTTCCTCAGCCTAACCACATCTCTCCACAGCCTCTGGACAACACCCCAGTCCCAGACTACCACTCACCTCCTACTTCCCCCCACAGGCGCTGCCCCCAGAGGACGGTGAATGCCATGGCTCCCGAGGACTGCTGTCAGCCTGGAGTAACAAACATAATTACTCAAAAAAACAATAATGACACACAGGGCTCCCAGTCCCGCAGTAGCACCCCAACACCTACCTGCGTTCATGCAGAGTCTGGCCTGGGGTCAGTATTAAACGGCACCTTCCATCTCCCGGCGCCCGCGCCCAGATCACATCAGGGTGGGGAGAGCGCACCCACTGAGGCAGAGGCGGCTCCCCGGTGTAACACAGAATCTGTGAGGAAAAATGAAATGATGAGTAATTTAGGTCAAAAAGTCAACATGACAGACTACTATTCCAACTCTGATCTTTCCTCACCCATTCCAAAAATACACCTGCCGGGGAGACGTACCGAGCCGAGGGGCTCTCCCCACCGGGGCGCATGCGCAGACACAGCCTCTGACCCCACTTACCATCAGGCCAGAGACAACCGCAAGCTGCGGGACTGGGAATTCAAAATTAATAAACCAATTGCCATACTGGGGGATTCAAACATACACAGAATCCCCAAATTTAACCACCCTTTTGTCCAGGCTGACAGCTACCCGGGAGCCTCCTTCTATCATTTCTGGAAGATTCTGGAAAAAACACCAATTAACAGAAACCCAAAAGTGCTGATCCTCTCGGTGGGCCTAAATAACAGGGCTCAGGATCCCCACAACACCTCTGTGAAACAGCTCAGAACTGTGGTCAACAAGGCTTGCTCGGCCTTCCCTAATGCTTCCATAATCGTTCCTATTATCAACCATTCACCACATCTACCAGCAATAGAACAGCACAATCTGGCAATAATCAATAATCACATAATAAAACACTATACACATTTCTCAGCTTTCCCGGACCAGGATTTCATAACACAAACTGACAACATACAGTGGACTACAGAGACAGCCAGTGCTATCTTCTCCCACTGGCTAGGGGAGCTGGACAACTTAATTTCAGACCTACATGACACATAGATTAATTACAGCACATCACACACAAGATAATTCACAACACATTACATCATAGTTATTCAACATGTTATTACAACCTTATACATAACTCATACGGCACCATGGACTTTTACCAATTTCAAATGTATCACTTACCTCTTAAATTCACATTGGGAAGGCCGAGCTTGACGTGTTGTATCATCATCATCATCATCATCATCATCATCCCTACTCATTTTCATTACCATCTCCTCACCTCATTATTCACCTGAACCTGTATGCAGGATAGAGAGCGGAGGGAACTCGGCCCGTTACCATCTCCGGACCAACACATCAGACTTGGAAAATTAAGAGTGACACTATTCAATAATTCAACTCACTATAATTTTATTTAAACAATACCAATAAAAAATCATGAATGTCACAATCTCCACTTTCTCTGTCTGGATTTGTCCTTTTTACATTCTGTCCCATATGCATATTGACTCTCTCACACCACTAATTTGTAATAACCAACTTACCTTGTGTTCTGATTGTCATTTCTCATATGCATAATACTTCCTGAGCTGCACCTTTGACAGTGTAAACACACCTGGAATTAGCACGTTGCATCACGATTTAATTTTACACAATTTATTTCGTTGATGTGTTGCCTCCTGTGTTTCACCAGTTTTTATTTTATTTTCTTTCTGAAATTATTTCTTAAAAAATATATTTTATTTCCAGGGAGGCGGGGTCTGCACGACGGACCGCACGCCCCCAGGCCAGTGCACCAGAGCCCTGATTGGGTTGCTAACTTCACTCAC